GGCCCTTGATATGACCAAAAGCTTCCCTTAAAGCCTTCAAAGCCTCCTGTGTACTTAACCACATATGGAAGCCCAGTATGTACACCATGGTATACATTGCTGTCATACACTGTGTTTGGGAACAAAAGAATTAGTGCAGAAACACATAGACTGTTGTCAAGCTGCCTGCAAGGCTGCCTCCACGTGAATCTTTAGCTTGTGCCAGTACTTGCAGAGCAGAGGGGCAAAAGATGTACAAATATAGCAAGACATTTTCTGAAGCTGGGGGGATGCAGTCATGATATGCTGTTCCCTAAAGGACTAAGATATGAATATCAGAGGTCCTTGGCTTTGATTCAGAGAAGCACCTGGAAGCTTGGATGCATGTAGTGCCCCTTCTCCAGCTGAGAAGGAAAATCAAAAAATACAGACTTTCTTAAAATAATGTTTTGAAGTCCCACATCCCAGGCAATGCTGTCACACCTAGATGTCCTGCTGCATTTGGTATTCCTTCTTTTAGATGTATTTACTCCTGGAAGTGGTGAGATGAGTACAAGTTTTAAAGGAAGGATGAAGTAGACAGATGCCTTGGCAGGAGTTTGATTTCTGAAATAAGGTTTAATGTCAAGGAGCACTTTCTCTGATCAGTTCATTCACTTGTAAGACTTCCAGCTGACTCGAGCTGCTCTGTCCTTATTCTATATAGAACATATGATTAGAAAAAAGTCATTTGTGGATGCAGATATGCCTTTAATCTTTCAAGTCCAAATCATGTTTCTCACTAATGCCACTGAGGAGAATTCCATTGATTCTCATCTAGTTATTGGTGTGTTCTTGCTTCCTTGAAACAATATTACATTTGTGAATATATTCATCAATCTTTCCCATCATATGCATTTGCTTTCACTTGTGAAAGTCATGTGTGTGAGTTTTTTATCTTGTCTTTAATGAGCTGTAGTTCATTGTAATTTATTATGTATTATATTTAAAGTATCCATACTGAAATGCCACAATCTATAAAATGTAAGCACATATATACAAAGAAATTAATAATTTCATGAAAATAAATTAAAATTATGATTCAGTCAAAGCAATTCTTTTCTTTATTAAACAGAAAGTCTGATAGACTCTCACTTTGCTAACACCTGGAACTCATCTATAATTAAAAAGATGTCATTCTTTTATACAAATAATTAAGTAATGCAAACCATTCACAGCATAAAAGAGGTTAAATTGTCTTTTTCAGTCAAAACAGATTATAATTAGTTCCTGGCAGAATGTTGCCCTGATACAATGCACTATTTTCTTGCTGTTGTGACTATTGTGGATGGGCTGTGCTGCAAAGGCTGAAAGTGGTATGTACGCTCCCACTCTTTGCTATTTAGAGTATTTCAGGTGTCCGCTTTAGAACCCTACAAAAGCATCTTTTTCCTGATCCAAATTGTGATGTTTTTCCTGTGCAAAGCCTGCATTTCTTTCCTCCTCAGGACAGAAATTTAGAGATCAAATCATATACTGTGGAAAGTGTTTAACGTTTCAGCTTTAGAAAAGAAAGTAATAGTTGCGTACATTCCTGCTTCCTAAGGCCATTTTAGAGGATCCCTGCTTTCCTGTTCTTGTAACAGTCTGTAGTGGATGAGCATATAATTGCTGGTGTATATATTCACTGGGAATTGCTATTTAGTCTTAATTTCCAAGATCAAGACCCTAAATATAAGACTCTTATAATACAAGAAAGTCAAATATGCCAGAAAGCTGCTGCAAGTACCCAAAAATTGTGCAGAGACTGCAGATGATCAAGTGAGAGAGCTGGTTCTTGTTCTTCATGAGCAGTGGCTCCACAGATCTTGTCCAATCTCTGTTTATGAGTGGCAATTAAGTCTTCCTGACTGCACCTGCACTGCTAAAATTTTTGTTTAATAGTAATAGAAATTTATTTTAGTTCCTCTTTGAAAAAGGGATAAAGAGGTTTATATGAACATATACTCAGCAAATGCATCAGTATATTCTAATTAATGCATTATCCATTCAATGCTACAATAATTCACTTTATTTCTAACCATTCCCAGTGAATTATTTATATAGTGACACTTAGTAGCAAACTGCCATTTGCATCACTTTTGCATCACTCTTCTCATTATTAATTTACTTTCTATAATTCTTTAGTGCTTGATCTCATCAATATAGAAAAATGGATGGAGCCCATGAAGCATTTAACTTTATCTTAATTCTATATCTCTAATACTATTACCAGTAGCCAAGAGCAGATACATAATATATCAGCTGGCAATTCTTCCCTTTTGTGTATTCCCTTGTCTCCTTTTCTCTCCTGTATGCCAGTATACCTGAGTTCTGTAAAAGCAGAGGATGATTCCCCATTAATGACTATTTAAATAACAGAATCGCATAGCTATTTGCTATGTACTTGCTTCTTTATGTCCCAGACAATGACTATGAATTAATTAGCATTAGAACAGTGGAAATTCCTATGAATTTAACATTATATTCTGTGTGCATTATTGAATGATTTTACACTTCCTAATGCAAAACTGATGATATCTCTACAAACCTCTGGGGGAGTGTGTCATTAAAGTTAGATTTGCAAAGAAAATATATGGATTTCTCACTCACATTATTTTTTCCTGCGCTGATAATTCTATTCTTGAGCTCTTATTCAGAGTGGCTTGTTTGTATTGAAAGAATCTTTATCCTATTCATCTACCTTTCCCAACTTTTCATTTCATGAGGGAAATGAACTGTGTTTTTTCAATACTTAAAACATTCCTACAGGAAAACAAGAACTACATTTTCAGCTCCCAGGGTTGTCATCAGAGATAATGGATACAGAAAGGCAGCCCAGTGTGAAAAAGCAAATATATGTGTCAGAAATGAAAGCACCAATTTATAACGTCTCTTTCCTGTCTTCATTGCTGATAGCTTGTTTTATCCATGAAGGAAGCATCTGCATGGGAATAAAAAATATGAAGTTTTATTAAAAATTCTACCTGGTATCCCAAGTTTGCTCTGTATTTCTGCTGATTGTTTGTTATTATTTTTATTTTTAAAACAAAGGGGTTTTCAAGTCACGGATTCATGGGAGCTCACAACATTATTGACACCCTGCCAGAAAGGGAGAAACATTGGCAAACGCAATCCCTCCTGAAAGCAACGAATCTCTCTATATTACTTACTGAGCAAAATCTTAGTTTGTTAAGCCAAGTGAATTGCTGAAATAGACTTTATCTCTACAACTTACTTTCTTTATTTTTAAAATAACCTTTCTTCGTTTTCTTTCAAAGTGAATAACAACATGTATGTAGGCTTAAATTTACTATTTTCTATTAATACAATTTCTTAAAATTTATAGTACTTAAGCAATATATTCTTTATTGTTCAGTTCTAAAAAAAGCTGTTTAATAGGGAAGAAAAATACTGGCTATGCATCCAAAACCAAAGATTGTTGAAATGATTAAGCAGCTTTTAACAGCAGACAGAAGAAATGTTTTCTTCATGTCAGTTTGATTTACTTCAATAACTAGTTCAAAGTTAAGGAACTGCTTAGAAATAGAATAAGCTGAAACATCATTATCTTTAAATGGTCTATGAATAAATTCTCAGTCTGGGATCCTGAGACTTATGAATTCATTCATTAGCTGTATGTAAAATTAGCTTTGGTAGTAAACCAGTTTTAAATATAAAATGCTTGATACATTTTTCTTCTGTATGCAACATTTATTGCAATTTTATTTAAATAACAAATACACTTGAAAGGCAAGGATTTTGCACTTCAATTGCAATTCCCATTTCCGTCCAAAGCAGTTGGATGCAAGTCATAAGCAAATAAAAATTAATCTTCTAATAAAGAAGAATTATCATTCATTTCTACCAGAATGCTATGTAAGTATTTATCACTTGAAAAATTAGGCTGACCTATACCATTTTTGAAACAGGAATGTAAGGTGTTTTTCTGGTAGTATATGGAAGCAACAGATTAGTTTAAAAGGCAGGCTTGTTTCAAAGCCAATTTTTTTTCCCCAAATTTGCCTACTGACAAGAATGAAATTCCCTTGAGGAGAAAAGAATAATAAACATTTAAAATGAGAATAGAAAGGTCTATTTTTTTTACAATTGTTTTACAGTTTTTGTATTTTCACAAAGCAGATGTTTTAAATCTTATGAGAAATAATTTCATCTTGAATGCTTTAAATATTTGTCAGGTTTTACTAAAATGTTATAGTTTAGGGCCTTGTAAATAGGCAATTCTGTAATATTTTGGAGATAGAATGGCTATATAAATTAAAATACATAGCCCCCTACTTTAGGAGCATCTTTACTCACAACTTTAATTTGGTAAAATTTCCAACATTTTTAAAATAAAGTTAACTTCCAGCTGGAAGAAAATAAGTTCTGACATTTTCTGTTTATTGAAACTCTATTTAAAAGTGGTGAAAATATCAAAATGGGATATTTTTTCTTCCCTCGGCAAGAGTAAGGCAGTTCGTTTAAATTTTGATATAAAAAGAGTAACATAACTTTATTTATAACATATAGATTTATGCTCACATTATTATTGATTTAGTTTTTACGTAGATGATGCTGGCATTTTAATTAGAAATACTTGGTTGCTTTATATTAGGCTTCTTTAATGACTTATCAAAATCAGAAAATTCATATTCTTTCTGAAAACAATAACCACAGTAGGTTCCCTTAAATCACACAGCTGACAGAGACACCTATTCCCGACTTGCTCAAAGTTGTGCATTAATTAATTTGTTTCAAATACGTGATTGCTGGGGAAGAGGTTCAGAGCGTGGTTTAATAGCTGCTCTTGTTTGTGTGTACCCAGCATCGGGCAATGAAGTCCCAGCAGCAGAGGCTCATTTCTCTGAGCTAAAGGGGAAGGAAGAGGTTTTATTGTGCCAGTGGTGGAGAACATATTTAAAGCAGCAAGGATCTCACTGTTTTCAGCAAAGTGCTGACATACTAATTATGCCTTAACTGCATCTCCTGTTTCCTCCTAGGTCTTACTGCTGCAGCATCCCTTGTATCCCTGGCTTGGGCTTTGGCTTCCTACCAAAAGGCCCTCCGTGACTCCCGCGATGACAAGAAACCCATCAGTTATATGGCCGTTATAATCCAGTTTTGCTGGCATTTCTTCACCATTGCAGCAAGGGTCATTACTTTTGCTCTGTTTGCCTCGGTTTTCCAGCTGTACTTTGGGATCTTCATCGTGCTGCACTGGTGCATCATGACCTTCTGGATCGTTCACTGCGAGACAGAGTTTTGCATCACTAAATGGGAAGAGATAGTTTTCGACATGGTTGTTGGGATAATCTATATCTTCAGCTGGTTCAATGTCAAGGAAGGAAGGACACGCTGTAGGCTTTTCATTTACTATTTTGTCATCCTTTTAGAAAACACCGCCTTGAGTGTTCTCTGGTATCTGTACAAGGCCCCTCCGATCTCTGATGCATTTGCCATACCAGCACTGTGTGTAGTGTTCAGCAGCTTTTTAACAGGCATTGTTTTTATGCTAATGTACTATGCCTTCTTTCACCCCAATGGACCAAGGTTTGGGCAGTCACCAAGCTGTGCTTGTGAGGACCCTGCCGCTGCCTTCACCCTTCCCCCAGAAGTGGCCACAAGCACACTACGCTCCATCTCCAACAACAGGAGTGTCACGAGCGAGCGGGATCAAAAATTTGCGGAGAGGGATGGGTGTGTGCCTGTGTTTCAGGTGAGACCCACTGCACCATCCACACCTTCATCCCGGCCACCAAGGATTGAGGAGTCTGTCATTAAAATCGATCTGTTCAGGAACAGGTACCCAGCATGGGAGAGACACGTGTTGGACAGGAGCCTGAGGAAGGCAATCTTAGCGTTTGAATGTTCCCCTGCTCCTCCACGGCTACAGTATAAAGATGATGCCCTTATTCAGGAGCGCTTGGAATATGAAACCACATTGTAAACAAAGCAAAAACACAGCTTGAAGCAGCTCCAACATCACAGTCCAAATTAAGGGTTGACAGTAGGGCTGTAGGAACAACTAAACTGCGTACTAAAAGTAGAGCAGCAAGCTATAGTGTTCTTAGTCTGGCTATCATCATGATTATCATTTGATCCACTGTGTGCAGTCTGTCTGCAGGACACTGATACAGCAGCATCGTCTGAAAGCCTCAAAAAACCCCAAACCCTGACCCACACATACAAATAAGTTACATCAGCTGGGGGAACTCACCCACCACCCCTTACCGCTATGAAACTCTGACTGCACAGTACTTACAATCAAACCAATAAAAAGGCTCTGACCAGAGCTTTCAACTTCAGCCAGTAGTGCATTTTATTTTAAAAATGAATGATTGATATTTCCATAATCAATGACAAAAACAAAAAAACACACCTTTTCAAAAATAACGAAACTGTAGCACACGGTGTTGCTGTTAGGAAAACTGTTTTCTGGAGCAAAAAACAGGAGCTTAGTAGTCTTCAACATTCCCATAAATCAACCATTCAGGTTAGAATAGGTTTGCAAAATAGTTCTTGATTTAAAAAAAAATGTCATCATATTTATAAGGCTGTCAATGGGAAATAAACTAAATTCTGATTAATTAGGTCATTAAAATTAACACTACCAGAACTGTTTGTTTGCTGTAGAATTTCAAAGTCTTTTTAAAATGCAATTTAACTTCTTGATGTTATTTTCAACAGAAACTCTATGCAGCTCACTTCTGGTTTTGAGGAGAAATAAGGAGCTCTAGCACGTAGTGATATTCATTAAATGATAATCATGATTCAGTGTTCAATTTGCAAAAAAAAAAAATTAAAAGAACAAGGAAGTATAATTTTCGTATTCTAAACTTTTCGGAGGACCCCATTCAGCTATTTCAGAAGAAGCTACAAGGAGCTGAACACACTGACACTTCTCTGTTTCAGGACTGAGAATGCATGATTCAGTGTGTGAATGTATGCAGGTGTGACAAGAGACTGACATGCCATACCCTTCTAGTGCCAAACATTGTATAACTGCAAGGTTGATATTGCCCGAGGGACACAACAAGCGGCACAAGCCCTACCGGAAAAAGAAGCAGGAAAGACCAACCAAGCTCTCAATGTGTAGAGACAGCTCTGATTTTTCCCACCCAAGGTGAAAGTGATGTCTTTTAAAGGCTTTCAGCCACCTCTTAGTAAGCATATTCACTGAAGCATAGTATAAACAAGTTATGTGGAAGAGCCTCTTCTGCCTGTTCAAGACTGGAGTAGAGATGTGTCTAAAAATTAGAATCTCTTGTAATAGAGTGCTTTTGCTGCAAGCTTTTGGGTTTTAAATACCTCCCTAAATCTAGTTAATGGTATTATACTTTATGTTAAAAGTATCCCCTGATGGTGCTTTCAGATGCATTAAAGGTGCAAGTCAAAATTTGATAGTATTTTTTTTAAAGCTGGTGCAGAGTGAAAAACTCATGGATTATTTCAATATTTTTGTAAAGTAAAAATATGGTATAAAAGGTTACTTTTTATAAACCTCAAATCTTTTAATACATTTCATTCTCTTTATAGCTTAGATTTTAAGAATTGGTCCATGAATTTTATCAAATGGCTTTTGCAGGTTGACATAAACCTGGTTTTCACACATTATGGATTTGTTTTGCAGTGTAATGCCATATGAAAGCCTACATGGGTACTTTTAGAATACTCTATAAACTGTGGATCCTGCTTCAAATGTAAGTGGCTTGTAAAGACACCAAGTGATTCCATGAGAAACAATTTGCTATAAATATTTCCATCCATTTTAGGAGAGCGAAGCAGAACTGAAGAGTTACTGTTGTAAATGGCATTGTCAGGATGGAGAAGACCTGATAATTGGTATTGTAATCTTCACTGTCAGATATATCCAGTGTAGTCACTGCTGTGTATGCTGCTGGGTGAATTTCTGTCTTTCCTATTACCAATATTTGTACTATGAAATGGCCAAGGTTACACAGACTATGTTTATTTGTACGCGTTCAATTAGCCATTTTTAATGTTGACTTTTTTTATTAGTGAAATATTCGATACCTGTTGTTCTTTGCTGGGGCGAGTTCCTCAAAACAAAAACCTGTGGAAGTGCAGGAATCTGCAAAGCAGAGGGAACTTTACACAGATCAGAAAAAAACTATGCTTCAGGGGTTTCTTAGGTATTTTCAAATTAAATAATGGCCAACTGCCTCTATAATTTTTTTTTTAATAAAACAAATCTTTGATAGTCCAGGCCTGAAGCTTTTTACAAAGTGATTATCCTTTTCTTCATGGAGAAACAGCTCATTATTCAGAGAAAAGCACTCATGTTTTTTCAGAAAATATACCACTACAAGAACTGCTAAAAAGAGATTTTGGGAGCAAGTCCTTTATCCTGTCATACTCAGTAGACCCTTCGTCTCCAGAATCAAATTCTAGTTCGCACAAGGGAATTGCTGTTTTTCTTTACAAAGGAGGTAAATGTAAGCTCTGTGATCCAAAATGTGAGGGTTTCTTTTGGAGACAATTTGAAGTGCTTGCTGCTGCTTTAACAACTTGGAAACTGAAGCCTGAGTGAGGCACAGTGAGCAGCCTTGTCAAGCTTCAGTCTCGCACCAGCACCTCCTGGGGAGAGGGGCAGCATCGCTGGTGTCAGCAAGGCTCTTCCTCTTCTGATGTCCCTCTCATCCTCTCACTCTCCCACAGAGCTGTGAGCTTACAGAATTGAAGAAAAATTGCTTCATATGGAATTTAAAGGGTTAAGGTCTTCACCAGTGCTTGCATTGCAAGGTTTCTGAAGAAGGTTTGGGATGAGTTTATTTGATTTGCTTTTATTTGGTTTTGGAAGGAAAGACACAGGTGTTATTTATCCATGTGGTTTTTCATGCCTAGCATTTCTTTTCCTTATCCTCACAGCATTTTTAATTTTTGTAACTGATGTTTGCAAAAATGTTTATCATAAACAAACTGCTGCAGGGTGTGAGTGCAGAATGACGTATATGTGTGTGTGTTTGTATATATATTTATACATATATATGCAGCACTACATACACACACCTTGTACTCAGAATTAAATCTGGCAGTTTGAGGCAGGGGTGGAAATTATGCTGCACTAAGTCAAAATTTGCTCTCCAAAATCTTGCTCTCTTACATTCATAACATCAATGTTACCTGCACTGAGAACAGGGCAGCGACTGAAATCTAAACACTCTGATGACTACATGGACAGTTTCCTAATTTGCATTGCTGTGAGTAGTCACATTAAAAGCTGTAAGAATTTTTTTTTATAGAAATTTCCAAGATTAAACATAGTCCGTGCTGTAATTCCATTATGGCCTTATGGACAGTTAATAATCAATATGCACTCTTCTTTTTGCCACAGACAGTTCTAAATTCAATAAAGTTCAACTGAGACAGCAATAGCAAAAATAAAATTAAAATAAAGGACTTGTAAAAAACCTGAACTTTTGCTTTTGAAATAATGAAAACATCAGGCCTTTTAAATTTCATTTCAGAATACAGGAAAATAAAAAAGCTCATATTTTCATATTTGCATTCTGGTAAAGAAAAGCAATCACATCTATTTGTTAGAAGACTTATGGGAGCATTGTTCTAATTAACCAAACAAACATAGCAGCAGACTTAATGGTAATTTATCTGGTTAAAAACTTGGTCCTAAAATTTTGAGAGTTGTGGATTTGTCTGTTGCAGAGAAGACAATTCAACTACTATCACTAATTAAATAAAGGTAATTTATACCCATGTTCATTCAAAAAACATGCAAGAAAATGTAAGAGAAAACTTTTTACTTATTTTAAAAGCTGTTTGTTCTGTAATGGGATAATTCTTTTTTAAAAAGTTCTTTACAAATATGTGCAATACTTTCCTTCCATGCATATTTAATAATGAAAAAATTGATTTCCAATTTTGTTTATATCAATTTAAATATGCTTCTTGTGACAGAACAATATTTCTTTGCTTGGGTTATATGGACTTGATGGCATATATACAACATTTTTGTTGTCAGACCAACAAATTTTCTATTAATTAATTTTTATAAAATTGGAGAAAGTTTTCCTTCCAAAATTTAATGCTAGGTGGGCCTCATCTGCCTGATTTTGTAAACTTTTAAGCAGAGGAGGAAAATTACAATTTTATTGGCAATTCAATTTTTAATATGTGGTGAATAGCTATTAAACCTGTATTAGTTTAAAACATATGATGGTCTTTCCAATACATCATTATGTCCCCAAAAGAGCAATTCATAAGTGGTACTAAAAGTAGAAGTGCTGCTTTATTTGGAAAGGAACTCCCAATCATGCAATATGCTCATTTACTTTTTATTGGCCAGCAAATATTTGCAACTAGACTGTTGGGGTTTTTAGAACACAAACGAGTTTAAAGTGTTTGTGACTTGATCCTATCACTTCTAAGGAGCCTTAAAAGTGGCACTGTACTGAGATGTAGTTGGCTCTGCCAGTGATTCAGCTTCCAAAGCCACTGCCCTTTCTCTGCTCCCTGCCTGAAGCTGTGCAATCCAGAGTGACTGAGATGCTGTGATTTACTCTGCACCCCCTGCACTGCCTGCACAATGCCAAGGAAAAGACTTCAGCAGATTCCTGGGGTCCTACTGCTGCCTCTCTTACTCCTGTGCATGGAGGGAAGCAGAGTAAATTGCACCTGTGCATCCATCTAAACAAGCCTATGTAAGTTAAACCCCTACAAGATGTCCATGATGAAAATAATCACAACACATGCCCATAAATCTCCAAGCCCAGCACCACAATTACTAATTCTGCAGTGTAACAATGCAGGACATGGGAAGAATTGTCTACATACACAATAAGCCACTTAATTTTGCTACTTGTATTGATTATACTAGCTCACATAGAGCCCGTGCTCTCAGCAGAAAGCCAAATGGAGTAAGTGGCAAACAGCCATTTGTGTACCAGAGGCATTAAGTTATAAAATCATCCCTTGATTGTTTATAGATTGTTTATATCTTTTCATTACAGCATTGGATCCATTCCTCTTTATTCTGATAAGAGAGATAAAATGCAAAATGAGAATAGATTATTTTATATCTGGGAATTAAAAAATAAAAAAAAAAAAGAGCAACACAACAGGTTACTGCAGTTAACATACAGTGATTTTTTAAAACAAATTCTGCCATCATTTTCACTTGGCTGCAAATTGCTGAGTGATATTTCTCACGTCTGGTATGAGAAGATTTCATTGCAGGAGAGACAGAGATGACATTACAAAGCCTTGTCCATGCAAAGTTAGGAGAATGGTGTCACTGATGACATTTACACAGCTGTTTTAACACATGAGGGATCCCCTGGCACCATTTGTTTTACCTCAGTGACCTCAGTGCAGAACTTTGGTGAGATTTCTTCACTGGTATGAATATGTAAAATCAGGCCCTGGCAAAGAGTGAACTACATGAATTCAGGCCATGGTAGCAGAAGTCTTCACCTCTTCACTCCAAACTGAACTCAGCTGGAGATTTGTTTAATGCCAAAAAGCCTCCATGGCTCTTGGCACAACCTGAAATACATGCACTAAACTTAGGGCTGACTCAGCATGAATCAAAGATTTCTTATTCTTTCCTTTTTGGTTCAAACATTCAGGAATACATCCACTTTGACTGAGTTGCTGTTCTGTGATCCTTTTAAGATGACTTTGAAAAATGTCTCTGAAACCAGTCTTCTCCAGTGATTCTCACAAAAGCCAGTTCCTGACCAGTGCATTCATTAAAAGGAACTTTTTCTAAGTGTGTGAGCTT